CAAGATGCACCCCCGCGCCGCCGCCTGCGCAGCCACGGCCCTGTGAGCGCATGAAGAAGAAGAAGAAGATTGCTAGTCTCTACGTTTGCGAACTCTTTGTAACAACGAAGATAACGCGAAACACGTTCATATTTATATGAGCACGGATACTGTATTTGGCCATGAGAACGAATATGTGTGCCCTGGATCCATCGCAAGCATGCGCTGCGGCGTCGCTCTGTAGAAGCAAGCCGCGCGTTCACACCGGGGAATGCATTGTCGTCTTGCGACGAAGTGCTCGGTCGGCGCATTGAGACCCGACACCCGAAGCGCAGTCGATCTTCGCCACGCCGCGACCTTTCTAGCGTGCACTTTGCCTATCCGAGTCGTGCCTACCCAGCCACTCTTCATCGCAAGTTGTGCCTGACGAACCGCGCTGATCTCTGCACGTCGTAGCAAATTGCAGCGCTTCGATCGCAACAGACGTGCGCGAGACCGAGCTGACCTCTCGGCGGCGCAGCTTGCAACGACACCACTCTGCAAGTACTGGCTCAACTACGATATGTTCCCTCTGCCCCTCGAGTTCTCTCTCCAGACGACGCTGCTACAGCGCTCCACCTAGCAGCAGTGGATGTGCGATGACACTTGTCTGTCGTCGCTCTTGTGTGGCTCGTGCTTATATGAGCTCGGCGACCAAAGGCTCGGCGACCAGCTCCAGCAACATGGGATCAAAGGCGGTCGCGTCATCATCCGTACTTGCGGCGCCGCGTTCACGTGATAATCGCAGTTCAACTGCCTTCAGGTATTGGACTACTCAAAGTTCGTTCTGTCGAAGCCGTCATGAGGGCTTGTACGTCCTTGGATAGCTCTTGGATATTAGAAGCCTTGGCGCTCTCCGACAGAGCTTTGGAGTCCTGGCGTCACTGACGCGTCGACGAAAGCTTGCATGCGCCATCGACATCTCGGATATACAAGGTATCTTCGGCCGCCAGTCGCTCAGTCTTCCAAAGAAACACGAGTCATTTTGCACTAAATGCGATGCCGTCAACTTTACTCGGAGGACATGGAACGGCGCAGACAGGAACGCAGTGCAGCAGCGTGGCCTCGTACACTGCGAGCTGGAGTGCCACGTCCTTTGCCGGTCGCGAGGGCAGCTCTCGGAACGGTACAGTACACGGCGTACGCACGCGAAATCGAACCTGCGATACATCGCGCCATCGGCGTAGACCGGGCTTCTTTGCAGCCGCATCGACGAGTACTGTGCACTGTGGCTGCGACGCACCGCCGTGCGGTACAGTACATATCCGAGAGTACTAGAAAAAGTATATTTGGCCAACGTACCGAGCACTCTCTACAATGGACGACGTAATGTAGTAATGCTATTTGAACGAACGCAGTGCCGCACGTCAAGTACGCTCAGGCGAGTCCATGGGTGGAAGAGCTGATTGTGAATTCGCGTCACTTGCAATCGCCGCCGCATGGGTGCATGTCATTTCTATATCGCGGACCCTGTCATCCGTTCACGCAAAAGAGCTGGCCTGACGTGACCGGCGCGTGATAAAAAAGGGCGCGGTGGTGCCTTCAGAAAATGCAAACTGCACTGCAAAGCAACCCAACGCGCCGCAGAGGGTAGGGTTCCAAGTCCGTTTCTACGGCACCAACGACAACTGGACTGCGCCAATTGCAGAAGCGAATGATGATACAACCGGGGAGTCACGTGCGTACACGCCTGGGTCGATTCGGTGGTCGACGGCTATAATCGCCTTGTGTCGGGCCTGTCAAGGGAAGATCCCTCGACAGGCCCGACAGAAGCCCATTCTAGCAGAAGCATAAACCAACGCAAACTGCAATAAAATAGAAAAACAAAAAATGGGCAAAGCCCCATCGAACGACCGGAACGACTCGTACTCAGTCACACCGACGACCTTCGACCCACGGAATGGCAGGAACGTCGGACGAGATTCGTACCTTGGCCGCGCACGAAACCTGAGCCAAGTATCCACGATGCAGACCCTTTTTTGTCTTGATATACCATGTTACCGCATCCGAAAGTGCAATCGCACCCTTTTTTGGTACACAATACTGGCCATGTTGACCTTTCCAAGATGAAGTCGGGTGCAGTGCCAGTGGTGACCAGGGTGGGACGCGTCGAAAGCACCTCGAAGATGGATGCATCGGTTCAGGACCGACGTGCGTATTTATTGCGCGGCCGCCGCACAGTACTCGACCGCACTTCTATGCGCCCCGGTTTGCTGGGACAAGGCGAGGATCCCCCTCCAGTCGTTCGATGCAATCGGACGCACGGCAGCTTTGTGGCCACCGCGCCGGTCGCCGCCGGTCGCCAGGCTCGCGATTGGCGGCAGAGAATAGACGTCTGGCGTCACCACGCTTGCATCGATCGGAGGTTTTGTCAAGGGCGCGCTGGGATGGGTTTTTCGTGCGCAGCACTTTCTCGGCGTTTCTATGTAGACCGGCGCGCGTTGCACGCAACTTGACTCTAGCGTACGAACGGGTGCGCGCCACCTGCCATTCGAAGACGCCCTCTTGTTCGTGCTGCTTTGTGGCCGCCAGCGCGCCTTTCTCGTCGACTTGCTCAAGGCGATGGTCGCATGGGCGTGGCCGTGGTCAGGCACAGCGAGCGTTCGGCCCGTGCACGGAGTGGCACCGCCCGCGATGCGTGCACCATGTGGCGCTGCACCTACCACATTACTTGGCACAGCCAATTACGGCCTTCAACGTCTTCAACCCATCGAAGCTTACAGTGTACCGCATCATCATCGCCAGCAACCGACGCGAGGAGTGGCGCCAGGATGTCATAGAACCGACGCCTGCGACGGGCAGACTGCAGATGAGAGCCCAGTTTGCATTTTGCTCCGAGCCACCAAGGTCCACCACCAATCGATACTATGGACATTGCACTCCTTCTCACGTCGGACGACGGGTCGAGCGACCACTCGGGCATCGTGCAGAGCCCGCGCGCCGGTATCTGGACGCTCGAGGAAGAGCGGTACACGCTCGCGCTCATCGAGTGCTTTGCCCAAGGCTACCTGCCGGACATTATGCTTGGCACGTCGCTCCGCTGCTTCCTCGCCGACAAGCTCTACTGCTCGCCGATGCGCGTCTCCAAGAAACTTGCGACCGGCCGCCTCGCCGGCGTCGCGCTCCCGGCCAAGCTCGGCCCGATCCGGTATGAAAAACCAGCCCGTGGACCCGGTCCAGCAAGTCGTCAAGCTCGAGCAGCTCGCCGAGGCCGAGCGCGCGTACGCGGAGCGCCTCGACGCGTACGACATCAAGTTTACCGACCCGACGGCGGTCATGGAGATGCAGACCAAGACGCAGGCGCCGTACCTCACGCGCGTCGGTCTCTGGAGCCGCACCGAGCAGCTCTACGCGTGGAAGCTCATCGAGTGCTTCATCAAGGGCCACATCACGCTGCCCGTCGGGACGCGTCTCCGGTCGTTCCTCGCCGAGCGCCTGCGCTGCAGCCCGATGCGCATCTCCAAGAAGCTCGCGACCGGCTCGATCGCTGGCATTCACCTGCCCAAGAAGCTCGGCACGATGGCCTACGCGCCACCCAAGGTTCTCCACGATAGCAGCGATACTATGGACGGCAAGGTCGCGGCGCTCGCCGAGCTCCACCAGCTGCGCCAAGCGTGCTTTGGCTACAACTAGGATTGATGTATGTCGTCCCCCTTAACTTATATTCCCCACTGGCGCCCACCCTATCTAATATACCACGGCCAGTACGCTTTGAATCACTTTACTTTTGGTTTCCTTTCTCGACTTCACGTGGTGCACGCCAACGATGGAAACCATTCTTGGCTGCCACATCCAAATTTCATCGATGTGCTGTGCGTCAAGGGCACGAGTCGCTCGAGATGGCAAGGATCTGCTTGTCACTGTCGGAGTGGTTAGCACGGCAGGAAAGGCGTAGTACCATGGATGGCGAACGCTCGAGACGGGCCGCGATTGCTGCATGCATTGGTCGTGGAGCGATCGCGCGTCGGTGGTACAAGTACTATTGTTTTAAAAGGTTGATGTGTTCTGCACCGTTTTGTCATCTTTTTAGCGCATCACATCATCACGACAGCAGCGCGCCGTGCGCTCATTGCTTCTGCAGCCACTTGCGCGGCGGCTGTCGCGGATCGAACGAGTGGTATTACGCGCGATGCGTCGACAGGCCACGGCCCGTCGCCAATTAGGAAGGAATGGATGGCGGCGGGTTGGTGAAACCTTGGGCTCGTCGTGCGCTAGTTCGCAAAACGGGGTGACAAAAAGGGGTTCTGGTCCTTTGCAGGGGACTCTTTAGTCACTACTTTTGTTAGACTATTGGATGAATATCGTCGTACGCTACATGGTCATAGTGTACAACTCCTTGCATCGGGAAGACTTGGGCCAATTTCAAACCACGGAGGTATATCCTCAGACAGATACCTCAAGCTGCTGCAATGAAGGACTTTCTCCTCTTGTGGTGCGCTGGAATTCTTCACTTCAACCACACGAGTGTGAAGTGTGCAAAATGCGGGGCGTGTGCGAAATGCGCGCAGTGTGTGAAATGCGTGGAGTGTGTGAAATGTGCTTTCACGGTACAATATATGTTTTCGGAGGTTACTGGAGGACGCATTCTATATGCGCTGAGTCACCGCGTGAGTGGCCTGCGGAAACGATTATGTACAAATGTCATATCATATGAAATCATCTTGCTAATAGTATAGACCACACAAACGAAGCATCTTAGTGAAGACACGCAAAACTCAGCTTGCGCAACGTTGCTACTTGTGCCTGTGCCTCTTGAGCCGCGTGCGCAAACGCCGCAGTCGGGTGCCTGTTCGGAATGTACGCTGTCGAGCCAAGACGTCGCGGCACATACCGTCCCAGCAGCATTCCCGACCCCAGCTTCTTGGACACGCGCATGGGGCTGCAGTCGAGCTGGTCGGCCAAGTAGGCGCGGAGTGTCGTGCCCGGTGCAAAGTCGAGGTACCCGTTCAAGAAGCAGCTAATGAGCTTTTGCAAGTACATCTCTTCTTTGAGCGGCCAGTGGCCCATGCGACTTGGCGACACAGGCGACGTCGGGCGACGAGGACAGAGGCGGTGACTGGAGGGATGCATTGCCTCGAGCTTGCACGCTTGGTCAAACGTGCGCTGAAGCAAGTGCAGTTTGTGAAGCACATGGGCATTGTCGAGCGAGTCGTTGGGGACATAGCGCGACTTGCCGAGCTTCTTGATGACGGTTTTGCCGGCAAGAGAGCCCGAGGCCAGTTTCTTGGAGACGCGCATCGGGACGCATTGGAGGTGCGATGCGAGGAAGCCCCGCAGCGTCGTGCCCGGCAGCAGGCTCGGGAAGGCGCCGAGGAGGAAGGCTTCGATGAGCGCCATTGTGTAGCGCTCTTCGACCCAGGACCAGGCGCCGTTGCGAAGGCTGTCGTGCAGGGTGCTGTCATCGTCAAAGTCGTCGGTGTCATCGTGGTCGAGCGGTGCAAGGAGGCGTGCAATGTCCATGGTCAATTGTAGAGTGGGTCTGGTCGACGAGAAGGATTCGACAACGCATCTCACTCGTGACCGGAAGGCTACCGCTGCGGTAGATGATCGCGAAATCAACGACCAGTTGCAGCTGCAGCTGTGGGACGCGAGTAAGCAGTTGACGACGACAGCGCGATCGGACTAACGTTTCGCCACGGTCCAATCGAAAGTCGCAGCTGGTTCACTTCGTGGTAGAAAGATTCAAGACGAGTTTAAAAGCCACGCCATGTCTGCGAATGGAAGAGGACATTCGTTGGTTGAAACATCCCTAGGTTGCGACGAGTATCTGTGTGGATGCCGAATTGCGTTGATCAAAATATAGAATCAAAGGGGTATAATTGAGCGTGGTATCCAGCTGCACGCCACTGCAAGACGACGACGACGACGACATTCTGTGTGTTTTCGGGCTTTCTCTCATCCGTTACGATTACGGTGAAATGCGTCGATTTGCTTTGTCGCGAAGAGGGATTTGAACGCGTAGCTCGCACCATGAGCGCATTTCGTCCCCACGACATTGTTGGATCTCACCGTCTTCTTCAGATAATTCCGGGCCTCTTCGCGTCTGCTTCGCAACGCTGCGCACATGCGTGCATGCGCGCGTCCCGCCATGCAGCAAGTAGCTACGAGTAGCTCGATTCGCTCTCCATCGAACCCATGAACGAGTTTTAAAAGCCCCTAGTAGAATCAACGAACGAACAATAGGACCAGAACGTGGAATCGTACTAATCGGTGGGCAAGACCAGAACGACACGGCGTGTTTTTGTTCGAGTCAACTTAAAATCGGTGGCCATGCGTACATTGGCTACTCCCGAGTAGTCAGGTACGAAGCCGTATCAACTGCAACACTACGAACATTTCACTGCTCTCGAGGTTTCATTCAACGGCTGGAAAGACTTTGAGATGGAGCAAATGCTGTCTTGCATGTACATAGGGCTCAAAACGAATACGAGTAGTCGTCGACCAAGCAACAAGTTGATTTACCCACTGACGGAGTTGTTGTACCAAGGCACTCCGATTGGTAGATTCACCTTTTGTGTTTCGTCGCGGTATCGACAAAGTAGCCAAGTCGAATCGGCAGAGACTCAACAGGTCTGGACCGCTCTCCGCCCAAGCGCTTGGCTGGGGTGCGATCACGTGCTTGCCACTTGGTCACCAACATTCACGGCATCAGACGCATACGAGCGCTCAGATTGTGATGAAAGTACCCTCGCACTCGTTGCCAAGGCGCCCATCCAATCGAAGACGTATGTGTATGTTGGAAGTTGCATATTGCACTTACTACAAGATAGCTAAAGGCTATAAATATCATTCTACATTTCACCGACTGTACGAGTCATGAGTGTGGCGACAGCCCCAAGGTGGGTCTTCCAACAGGTTATGAGCCCAAGGGCTTCATCTGGGGCTGCGATCGACCACACTCGACCGTGCCGGAATCGCAACCGAGCACATGAGCCCTACAACTCGACGCCAGCGCCAGCCGCAACACCAAGCGAGCGACAAAGCAACGACGTCAGAACCCGCGGCGACGGCCCTCCAAACCGTAGCCACGACGGGAACAGTTATAAGATCAAGGGCGCCCAAAAGGTCGCGTTGCGCAGAGCCAACCGATCAAGATCAAACTCTCCAAATATACTCCTGGTCACCTTTGCGACACAACCCTCGCAGGAACCAGCGTGTGTGTGTCGGAGCTGTGGACGCAACAACAGCGCCACAAGGCCGAAGGGGGATCACACCGGAGCAGGCAGCGCCAGAAGGACCGCGCCGCCCGGACAAACTCTCCAAAACCACTCCAGGACAACACCGCTAGACGAACGTCGCTAGATCCAGGAAGTCGGGACCCATGGATGCAACAAGATGAGCATCCCAACGAGCCCGAAGAAAGACCGTCACAGAGCAGGCTGCGCCAGAAGGACCGCGCCGCCCGGACGAAAGCCGCGAGCCTTGAAGTCGACAAGAGCACGCGAGTACCCGGCACGAGAAAGCGATCAGTATCGCCTCGGTCGGAGAACGACATGGACTCGATCAAGATCAAGGTCGAGCCAGCGGCGGCACCAACCCCGCCGAAGCCATCAACACTGACGTCAACACCCAAGATCGTCGAAGAAGCATTCGCAAGGCAGCAAGCCTGCCACGACGAGCAACGCCGACACGACGAACAACGTTGAGAAGAGCAGCACGCCGCCAATCTAGAACGTCTAGCCGCACAATGGCAAGCGTGCATGAAGGAACAAAGAGAACAAAGCGACCGCGATCGACAAGCAGCACTGAAGGAACATCGACAAGCAGCGAACGAGCTTTTTGAGCGCGCACGCCAAGATCGAGAGCAAGCACGCCACGAGCGAGCCGCCAGCGAAGAGCAAGCACGCCAAGAGCGAGTCCCATATGACGAGCGACGCTCCAAAGAGCAAGCGGGCGCCATTGCCCGCGCCATCGCCATGGAACGCGAACGCATCGCCGCAACCGCCAACAACATCCAAGCCGCGCGGAACGCCGCGATAGCACGAGCCCAACTCGCAGAAGCCGCGAGACTTGCAGCCCAAACCGAAGCACACGCAGCGGCCACTCGGGCACACCAACTCGCCGAACTGATTCGTCAAATGCAAGAGCAAACCCATGACGACGCGTCCATGGAGAACCGATCGGTCCGCAACAAACCGCCAGGCAACCCATCAGGCATCCCGCGACAAGAACCTCCACGAGACCCCCCAGGCTACACGCCGTATGTCCCACCCACCCCGACCCGATCTACATCCAGCTCCGACTGGAACCTCAAGTGCAAGGATTTTTCAGGTCAAGAGACGTACCCGGGCCTTGGCAGCGACTTCCCATCTTGGCTCCGGTCGTTTGAAGACGCCATCGCCCACAACAAAGCGTGCCTTCCCGATCACGCGTGGAACGACGAACAACGACGCGGCGCTCTCATCCAAAAGCTCAGCGGCGAAGCCCTCGAATGTTACAACCACTACCGAGACGAGCTCGAAGGACGCACGTTTGGCTACCACGACCTCGTCACTCGGCTCAGACGCACCTTCCAGTCGCTCCTATCGCCAAACCAGGCAGCCGAACTCCTCAAGGCTCCCAAACCCGTGTCGAAGTCATGGCTCGCTCACCTACGGTTCTACCGCCACGTCCAACGGCAGTTCGCGCTTCCGGTTCCCATGGTCATCCGCTACTTCGTACATCATGCGTGCCCCGAGCGGGCAGAGACTATGAAACTAATCCTCGGCTTTGACAACGAGTGGAATGATTTTCGCAAGCTCGACAGCGTCATCACGTACCTCACGCAGGAAGTCGGAACCGGTGTGGGCTACAAGACGCCCAAGCACGCCCATGCTCACTTCACCACACCTACCCCGCGCAATCGCGGCACCCGCCGCGATGGCGACGACGACAGCAGCGGTGATGACAAGTCTTCGGACACGTCCATACCACCGTCGCGTTTTCAGAAAAAGTGGTGCGAGCGCTGCAGACGCAACACTCACAACACGACTGACTGCTACGGCGCAAAGCGCCTCCGAAAGAAGGACGCCAAAGCAAACTCCGCCACCGACGCGACCCCGGAGCCTCAACCGACGTCAATAGCCAAGAGCATCGAAGAAGCTCTCGCAAGGCAGCTAGCTCGTGACGACGAGTGGATACGCAAGCAACAAGCCGCAATCGCCGAAGATCGGCGCCGTCACGACGAGCAGATGCGCAAGCAGCGCATGTTTGACGCTCAACAGCACCACGAGTGGATGCGCAAGCAGCAGGCTGCAATCGCCGAAGATCAACGCCGTTACGACGAGAGGACGCGAGAAGATCAACGCCGCCGCGACGAGCAAGACGAGCAGATGCGCAAGCAGCTCGCTGACGAACAACGCCGAAACGAAGAAGCACGACGCTTTCACGAGCAAATGTGCCAGCAACCCGACGACCAGCATCATCGAGATGAAGCAAACGAGCGCTTCGAGCGCGCGCACAAACACCAAGTCGCCACTGAAGAGCGACGAGCCCAAGAGCCCACAGTCGATGCTGACGCACAAGCTCAGCACAAACACGCGCAGCAGGAAGCGTACAACTACATTGAAGGCGCGTGCCACGATCAAGAAGCAACCGCCATCGCCCAAACCGCAAACACTGAGCGCCAACGCGCAGAAGTGACCACCGCTCCAACCAACGCAGAGCGAGACGCACCAACAAATGCCCAAGCCATTGCAGTCGACATGCGTCCAGCTCACGAAGCCGCGACCGCTCGAGAGACGCCAAAAGCCGAGAAGCTACGCCATCGGCAAGAACAAGTCCAAGGCAAGGACGAGTCCACGGCAACAAAGCACGCAAACTTGACCGTTCTACCAAGCACAACGCCAGGCAAGCCGCCGCGTGTACTACCACCCACATCGTATTCACGCGCCTACGTCGATCCCGATCCCGAGCCTCCGCAAACAGCCCGTACGACCAACTTGACCAAGAGCTCCGACTCGGTCAACAACGCCGTGTACGGCTCCCAGCAACGACTCGACGTCGACTTTATGATCGCAAACTTCACTCGCCGAGCCCCGACTCGATTGAGGGGAGACCGGAGATCCATACACTACCAGTACAGCTCAGGGCCACAGCTGTCAAGCTCCGCAAGCTACTCAAGATCTACAGCACGATCAAGTACCAGTCGAAGGACAACATACGCGACACCAACGCGACTTCCAGATCACGCAACTGGCCCGCAAGCAGCAGTACGTTCGTCATCGCAACCGCGATCAACCTCTTCGCACAAAGACCACGAACCGCTCGCTCAAGTACAAGCCAAATCAACCAGTACGCCACGGACGTCTCCACTGACGTCTTTGGACTCTTCGTCCTCGAGGGAGGCCCACACCTGGCTGGTATAGGTTGCCATGTCGGCGAGCTGGTCGTTGTCATCTAGCACAGCGACCTCGTCGAGATCGAGCAAATCCGGGTCGCTGTACGAGTTGGTGGTGGTGGTAGGTCCAGTACTTGCGCGACGAGCGATGCGTTGCATCTGGACGTCCACTTGCAGCGGATAGTGCTGGCCCATGGGGCGCGCGTAGAATGCCGAACGAACAATAGGGTCCAACCAGTCGAAGAAGGCGTCGACGTGCGCCAGGCACTCGTTGTCCGTAAGACCAGATTCGTCGAACACGGCAAAGAAGTTGCGCCAAATCCCCACAAGTCTTGACACTCGCGGAGCTGCTGGCGGAGAGTCGCTTGCAGATCGCGCAGCTCTTCGCGAAGCGCATCTGCCAAACTACGTGCAGCCCCAACTCGATTTCACAGGCGTCAGTACATGAGCGCACGCCCCCGTTGTTGGCCCTGCGTCGGGTCGTCACACCTGCGCTGGCTTCGTGGTCGACTTGGGGCGCCACGGTAACCGCGGCTTCCGACTTCATTTTCTTCCAACACATGATGCACGCAACGACGTTGAGGTCACGGTAGCGGCGTACGCATACGCCATTGTAGGTACAGACCTCCAGTGTCCCATCTTCCTGCTTCTTCATGACTTGGCACCTTTGTTTGGTGGCGGCACGGACGGCGGAGGACATACCGTGGCTTGATATTGTAGTGTTTTCGGTTTCGGCGTGAAATATACCGTACTATGCCTTTATTAAGAGACATCATCTTACAAACGACATACAAATACTATGTTTACTGGAGACCCCTTTGATATAAAATATACGGTAGGTACCCTTTATGATTAGAGCTCTACGGGATGTTTGCGCAACCACTATACGCCTTCCTTATTGGCTATAAATACAACATATTGACCAATGAGAGGCTTTTACCAGCTTGAGGCGGGAAGTTGATGCATTCATGACAATTGAAACTGACATGCCTAAATTAGACGAAAATGCCAATCCGAATATGCCTTAATATCAAAATGCCCTATCTTCAATCCCGAGCTATCTCCATCCCACCAATAATGCCCAGGGATTGGCCCGTAATTCCGAACATCTCTCCCAATTTTGACCAATCAGATGCGCCAAAAGGACACAAAAAGCAATTTCATTACCTCATTGTCGCCCCCCTGGCCCCAAGGTGGGTCTTCCAACAGTGTATCCATCCATGTGTACTACTGCTTCACACAAGCAATCCGTGCGGCGACTCGAGCGACCCAGGTGCCGACCGCCCTTTACGGTGATGTGTTGTGACGTGATTCCAGACGGTTACAGATCGCTGACGAGCTAGTTTGAAACCATCAAAAATGAACGGACGACGCGAGGTCTCACGCCAAGCATGGAGAATGTGCATCGGGCACATCCCGCGCGAATGCCAGATACCAACAATACATCAAAGACTACAAAGACATGCGCATCTGCAGAGACCGATGGCTTGCCGATCCTCCAAGGTACGTTGGTTTCGACGATGCAATCTCGTCAAATTAGGGTACTGCGTGGTTGTTCGTTTTAGAGTGCATCGAAGCACCAGATGCGGCTGTATTACCGAAAGAGCGTTTCGTGTTGCACAATCTCGAATAACAACCACTAACGCTCCTCGCTGACGCACCGGCCAAGCCTCACGAGCGCATTAGGAAGTCCACCCAATCTTTATAATTGCATGTAATATAACTCTGTTCAACAACAATAAAGAGCTTGAACGATTGCGATCACCGCCGGGAAGTAGGACGGCACCGTGTTACAAGCTTGCCCAAGATGTGTAGCGCGCATGTAATTGTTCGGCAGAGAATGTTGCGTGCTGGTAGTGTCCACGCAGCCACGGACAGTGTAGTGTAAGGGTGTTTCGAGGCAAAACCTTGCGTCGCGGCGGCGAACCACCGGGAAAGCGTGCTACTAACCTTGCGAAAGCTTCGATTTGAAGCATTTCTTCACGTCGACACTGCAAAGCAACCGGGTTAACTTTCTGCAAAAGGCTCCATCGGACTAAAAACAAGCACGCCAGGGTGTCCGTCCCTGTGGCCATAATGCAAGTGCATGGGGGAAGAGTGAGCTTCGTGCTGCGAGGCCGCCGCCGCCCAAGAAGGGACTGGTGGGTGGGTTGAACTGAGTAGCTAAGGTGAGCATGCTGCTTGGACGCGACTTCTTTGGAAATAACCTTGGCTTGGACCGTGGGTCTTGGACGTTGACAGTTGCTGCCTTGCTAAAACGGGTGCTGCGGTTCAGGCAACGGCTCAAGATGGCGCACTTGCTTGGCCGTCGTCGAAAACACAGCTAGCTTCACGCGTGCCGCAAGAAACTACTCGTTGCGGTTCGAATCTTTGGCCAATCACAGGGCGTTAGAGCTCTACTTTTAGCTAATCCCTTGTCGCAAGCGAGAGGAAGACGCCGCCTTGTTCGCAAGGTGCTTTCGTGCGACCTACAGAACTTGCACAGTGTCGAGTGAACGATACAAAAAACATGTTAAGACAATATTAAGCCATATGGACATATCCTACACCACACAAACGAAGCATCTTAGTGAAGACACGTAAAACTCAGCTTGCGCAACATTGCTAGTTGTGTCTGCGCCTCTTGAGCCGCGTGCGCAAACGCCGCCGTCGGGTGCCGGTTCGGAATGTACGCGGTCGAGCCAAGACGTCGCGGCACATACCGTCCCAGCAGCATTCCCGACCCCAGCTTCTTGGACACGCGCATGGGGCTGCAGTCGAGCTGGTCGGCCAAGTAGGCGCGGAGTGTCGTGCCCGGTGCCAAGTCGAGGTACCCGTTCAAGAAGCAACTAATGAGCTTTGCAAGTACATCTCTTCTTT